ATGGCCCATAATAAAAACAGCAAAAGGGGCAACCGGCGAAACCCCATTCCTCATGGTATACGGTGCTGAAATCGTCTTACTAATTGAGCATTATGAGTCGACTCTTTGAGTCATATTATATGATGAAGAGGCAAACTAGGAGGCCATGCGGTTAGCATTTGACTCACTTCTAGAACGCAGGGGCAATGCCAACTTGCGTCACGAGATTTACCGTCTGAGAATGACAAGAGCCTACAACAAAAGAGTACACAAACGACCCTTGAAAGTTGGGGACTTTGTGTTACGGAAAATGGAGGCAAGCGGTAGGGCCAATGAGCAAGGCAAGTTGATGCCCAATTGGGAAGGTCCCTACCAGATCTATGAAGAAGTAAGAGGTGGCAGCTATCGCCTGGAAACTTCGGACGGCAGGAAGCTAGCCAGAACTTGGAATGTAGACAACTTAAAAAAGTACTACTTCTGAGACTTGTAAATTTTTTGTAAATGAAAAGCGTATTAATGAAAAGTTACTTTTTATTTTCAAATTTGATTATTTTTGCTATATTAGATATGTCTCTCAATGGGAACACCGCCTGTGCAATGTGCAGGCGGTGAAATCTAAACCAACCGTCTGCTCCTACAAGAGTACGACATCCGGCGACGCCCATCGGGGTGAATTTGTCGCAGATAGCATCTCCCATTTGGATGGTACATTGCTCTATAAACTCAAAAACAAACGGCCCGACCGACTGTCTGGATAAAGGCAAGCTTGTAGTTGTTTGACTTGAATAATCCAATATGAGACCTAGATAGCTAAAGTTTACCGCCTGTTCTATAACAACCGGTAGCCGATTATTTCATTTAGATTAAAGAACTCATTTTGGTGCTAACACCATTAAGACACCTGTTATTGCTCAAGGACAATACAGGCGGCCAAATTTAAAAATATAAACTAAGTCCAAAACTTAACAACTAAACATTGCTCGTTCAAAACGACTTAATACGGCCAATGATTGTCTGGTATTAAAATTTTACTTGTCTGCTTAATGGACGACTATCCGCTTGGTTTGGGGTAATCACTACAGTGATTGATTGACTTGAAAATTAATCATACTCTTTTAAGTATCAAAAATTTCTAAGTTAATCAATTCACCTTTAAAACCAAGCGCACAGTCGCCCAGGGACAAGAACATCCGGTATAACAAAAAAATTACATAGAAAAAGGCAAGTTAAATACGTAGCTAAAATCTACGCATAACAAAAATTCAAAGACTTTAAAATTTTTAAAGCAAACGCATAATGAAATAAAGCTGACCCAATGACCGGATGATTCATTAATTAATAAAGTCGACCCTACGGTCGATCAAAGGATAAAATGTTAACCAGCATAACTGGCAGAAACTGTTGAATTACCCGACCCCTTGGTCGGTAAAAATACAGAGTTACACGGCACACAGGCCGGAAAAGCATAATAACTGGCCATACAGCCGCAGAAATAGACAAAAGCTAATTATCAAGAGGGAGCTCTTTAGTGTTGGCAGTCGCATCCTCATTGTCCCCAGTCAGATGCCTATATTTTTCCTTCTCTTACTCCTCCTAACCGAACCCAGACGACCCCTCGTCAAAAGAGTCGAATGACTTCTCTTCTCCCTCTGACCCCTTTAGTTGCTTGGCGTTGAGCTCTAAGGTGGCCTCCTAAAATGAATGCTTCCACCCGTCATAGTCATTATTTGGGAAGAGGGAGTGCCAGGTCATCCACATCAGGGTCTCGTAGTCGTCCATCATCTGCTTAACCAGAGCTGCCTTCTCCTGTTCAGCTTTTGCCCCTTAAGTAGAAAGACAAGAAAGAATTTTTGTGTACTTCTTGCTCAGCTGGACCTCCTAGTTATGCTGTTTTTTTCTTAAGGCTCTCACATTGACTGTGCAGCCCCTCAGCTTCAACGTCCGCATCCTCAAGCAGCTCAAGCTTGGCCTTGAGGTTTTTCACCTCATCCTCTAGCTCAGTCACTCGCTTCTAGGCCGCATCCAAACTGGCCTTGACCTGCAGGTTGGCCGCCGCCAGAGAATATAGGATATCAGTGGTCAATATCTCATTTTGAGAAATCTCAAACATGGCCGTATTTAGAGAAGAGGCGGCCCGGTCTTTAGCAGCCTTTACCTCTTTCCGCTTCTCATTGAACGACTTTTTAAGGTCGTTCACCCGCAGCATAGCCTGCATCCGGCAAGAAACAGTCCATTAATACGAGGCGGCCCGGAAGGTAAACCAAAAGAAAACTATAAGTCATTATACCTCAGCAGGAAGGGCCAGGATGACATCAAAGTTGAGGGTGCCGACTCCTCTGACAGACTCCTTATCCTTTAGGGAGATGGCCCTCAGCATGTTCTTCACATATAGCTAAAAATCCGGCCTCATGTTGGCATTTGCACATTTAACACCTCGTATGTAGTTGACGTAAGCCCGGACAAAAGACCAGGTGTCTTTAGAAGTGCTAGGTAACTAATGATGTGACTTAACCCTGCAAGGGTAGGCCAAGGGGTTAAAAGCTGTAATACCTCTAGCATCCGCCTCCTCCCTCTCCTTAGGCAGTTTACTCCCGCCTGCAGCCTCCCGGTCCTTGGGGAGTTTGCTATCTCCTGCTACTGAACCGGTAGCAACGCCGAGTGGACTTTTGCCACTCTTCGACACCCACTGGGTGTCCGGCTTCTTTAGAGCTTCGAGAATGGAGGGAGATTTTCCCCACGTTGCGGGATGAGAGCCATCCTTGCCCCTCTAGTCCTTCCATTTGGACTCCTTCCCGATAACCATCATATAACCCTTATGGCTTAAAAGGGTATACCATCCGGACCCGCTTGCTTTTGGTGTTCGGCTGAGGTAATGCATCTTGGAAAAAGCCTCGAAGCTGGGCTCTACCTTCAGCATCTCACAGGCGACAACGAACCCCAAGATATTCAACCAAGAGTTCGGGGGAAGTTGCCAGACACCTAGCTAGTATCCGTCCAAAATCCTCTCCACAGCCGGATGGAGAGGGAACCTTAAACCAGTCTGAATGGCCGCCTCATAGTAGCCAAAACACTCGTCCCCGTAGCTTGACCCTTCCGGCCAGACAACAGTGTGCTCTGAATCAGGAACGCTGATAACGTATCCATGTCCCATGACATGGTCTGATCTAAACTGTTTTAGCTTATCAAGCATGACATTTCGCCTGCTTTTTTGGGACATGATGGTAATAGGCGGCAAATTGCTCTCGGCGAGTGGCAGAGGTAGAGGCCCATCCCTCACCCTTCTCTACAGAGAGGGACTCCCTCGTCGTCTCCAGTCGAGAGCACTTTTCATCAGAGCCTTCAGAGACTCTATCAAAAGAAGACGACTCCGATTCAACGTCCGAACTGTCGGACCTAACGTTCGAATGGGAGGCCTGATGAACCGAGCCAGAAGCATTGCTCCCTGACTCCTCCCCCGACTCTCGTAAAAATGAGTCATCAAGGGTACTCGGGGTGCCAGGCGGTAAGTCAGACAATTCACTTATAGGCGCCCTAAAGGAGCCGTCCGAATTTTGTTGCCTAGCTGTTCTTTTTGTTTTGGCCATAGTGTCTTGCACAGACATAGAGACGGTCGGATTCGGGGAAGTTTGCAAAGGGGAGTCCAAGAAGGGACAACCGACACTCCTAGTTCTAGATTCAGCTGTCCCTGGTGATCGGTTGATCGCTATCCTAGGCCGTGTCGTGCGTGTTTGTGAAACCATTTTCAAAGAAAAGAAACAAAACTAAAATAAAGAGAAAGAGAGAGAAAAACAGGTGGTTACCTTTAGAATGAAGGTACCGAGGACGCTTGAAAGTCTTGGTCGAGTGTGGAACAAGCGGACAAGGTGCAGGCTGTAGATGTTTTTCTCAGAAAAAGACAAATTCTCTCAAAAGTCAAAGATTCTCTCTCAAAGAATTTTCGTAAACGTGCGAAAATGAGGGGGGTGAAAACTATTTATAGAGGGGTAAAAATTAGGGATCCAAAACCCTAAAATTACCCAAGAAGGTGAACAGTAAAAAACTTGTCACTAGTACATATGTGACATCTGTCACATGCGCCACGTGGCACACCACGTCACCATGTGAAGGGCAAATGATTTGGTTATTTTTTTACCTAGCCACATGGACCAACCACAGCGTGACACGTGTCACTCTAGGGAGAGTCCAAAGTGGACCTACCAAGGCATGATACGTGGCAAGCAGATACCCCAAAGGAAATTGCGGCCTTTAGGGCCTAATTCCCGAGAAAGCCGCAAAACGGCGTAGCCCATCAGCCCTAGGTCGAAGTGACCTAAGTAAGGGCACAAATCCCAATGACCCTATAAATAGGGAGATTTACCCCATTTTGGGGACACGTACACACTCATTTATTACATCGCAATCAATTCTCTTACAAGGGAGAAAAACACTTGATCTCGGGATCCGAGAAGATATTTTACTTTCTGCATTTTTACTCCGAACACTTTCTAACTTGATAGTCGACCAATGGGAGCTTCCGTTATTTTGCAGGTACAGCCGGGCAGGTACCAGACTTAGTGACGTAACTCTTCCGTAGGACATCAAAAAAACCCTAAAACAGATGACATCATAAGAAAATTTGGAGGGAAACTTTTTAATGAGAGATTGACACTTAAGATAATTTAAGGAATTGATGACATCAACACGTTTTGTTTGAGTAATAGTTAATAGATTTGTGGTTCCCTACTATTTCGTCTCTAATCATTATAATGTCAAATTCAACTTTCTATGATTGTCTAACATATTCTCCACATGCTTAATAAGTAGGGGCACTTCAATTGATGCTTACAATTTTATTAGTTTTTATCTCGACGTATATAAGAACTTAGTTTATGTTTTAACATTCACAGGAATCGCTCGTGGTAAAATACAAATTTTCCTAATATTTACTCCGTATTATACATTCACCTTTAAAGGTTTTTACTCTGGGTAGAGGTGTCAATTCGAGTGCTTGAGTTAGGTTCAATGAGGTCGGGTCGAGTTAGATCTATTTCAAAGTTATGTCATATTAAATTATTATGGGCATACGAGTCAGTTTTTTATTTGTATAGCGTATTTTTTAGATTTGATTAGATCAGATCGCTACTCAGTTTTTGACGCCTTTAGTTTCCGGGGTGTGCAACCGCCTCACTTCCAAAGAAATCAAAACACACACAAGTGACTAGACCCTTCTGATTCCACCACTGGTTAATTTCTCCATTTCAACACCAACTGGGTTCATTCTAAATTCCAGGAATCATCTCTTCATTCATCAATCAAACATATTTTGGTCACTGATTTCTGGGATAATTGTTTTTTCTCTCCTATACTCTACACCATGGATACTTCAGGTTTGTCATAATTTGGCTCTTTGAATTCCTTTCAAATTGGGTAGTTAGAATATTGATAATGCATGTTATGATTGTTAAATTTCGTTGTATATTTCAAAATTTTGATATTCTAGGGTTCTTGATTGTTTTTTTGTATTGTGGTTGATGAGAATTATGTTTCATTTTACAAATGCTTTGATTTGGGTTATGGGTATATATGGGTTTTGTTGATGATTATGGTTTTTGATTCATGTAAAATTTGAACCCCTTCGTGTTTCAAATTCATCAACAGTGCTAGTTCTGGGAACTCTATGATTATGATCTTAAGTGTTTGCGATTAGAGATATAATTGATGGGTCTATGCATTTTGGATTAACAGGGAATTCTCAGGAGGTGATGGGGCCTCCTGTGGAAGGTGTAGCAGGCGGAGGGACGTCGTATGGATGGAGTGATGCCGGTTCTCATCTTCCAAATGTGATGAAAGGGGACATTGATCCTTTAGAAGTTCCATCTTCTGAAATACTGAATGTTTGGTGCATGCCTAGTACCTCCAATGTCGGGTCACAGGAGATGCCTAGACATTTGGAGCCAGTATGTTTTTTGTATCTTGTTTTTATTTGACTCGTACTCTTGTATATTCTTGATGAGTTGATGAACTTAGTGTGATCAAGACCTCAGACATTTCACTGTAGTATTGGTGGTTAGAGCCCTAGAGGCAAAGTGAGGTATGTTTTACCTAGACCATCAGGGTTGAGGTTTTCAGGCTAGGTCAATTTCTGCAGTGACATGTATTTATCGAAGTGAGGCAGGTTAGCTGTTTATACTTGTACATGAACATAAACATAACATAAAGGAGATGGGTAAAAGTGTATGGGCATCAAAAGTTTATATAAGTCTTTGAATTGGATTACTAGAAAATCAAGTCTTAAAAAAGTTCTGTTTTTTCTCTCTCTCTCTCTTTTTTTTTTTTTTTTTTTTTTAATTATTAGTTTCTATTGATTGACTATTTTGTAAGAATATTTGATCCCAATTATATTGTAAACATTTGAAAGGTGATTGATGGTGTGTTATTCTTAAGGAACACAAGTTGATGATAGTAATGACCTTAATAAGCATGTTATTCAAGTATTCAACTTTTGCTGGCATATTTTATGATGGCTGATGACCTTTTTTCTTCGTTTTTCTTTATTTTACCACTTTATCTTTTGTTTTATATTGAAAGTTTGGCAGCAACATGATTTGTGTTATGTCTGGAATGTTCCTAATTAGGTGTACGTTGAAATATTAAACAGTGCTATGTATGTGGCGTGTTCGGAGTGTGCTAGGTACTTGGATACATTTTGGTGTTTGGGTATTGGATATTGGATATCTGACCTGCATGGAGGGTCCATATAATCTGTATTGAAAGACTATTGTAATTAGCTCTCCTTCTATTCCAAATTTGTTGCCATAAAAAGCTTTTTCAATCTCCAAGGCACAATATTGAGCATTAAAATCTCTAATTGGGAATTGGAAATTGGAAAATAAAATACTCTTATGTAAAGTTGATGTTTTGAAGATACACATTCAGATGAATCTAAAAGTTCCTCATGAATGTTTCTTTTTTTTCTTATGTATTGATGAAATTTTAAGGTCAATGTTTGTGAAATTTGACCTTGAAAAAGCGTACACTTATGTGGCAATTAGTTTGGGATGGAGGGAGTATATTTTAAGTTATTTCCTAAAATAAATTTTAAAATCTCTAATTACAACAATGAAATACAATATCTGATGTTTGAGCAACATGATGTAAGAATCTTTTTATACTTTCAGTACTCAGATTGTCATGACAGTTCACTTAGAGTTTTTTTTGTTGATTATTCTGTGTATCAGGAGTAGTTTTTTTAGGTGATTTGTTCATTGTGACAGCTAAATTTTGGACAAGCAGTCTCTTAACTCTGTTTAAATATAGACATTATCTGAAATTAGTGTTACATGTCACATGTGTACTGGACCTACCATTACATGGTCTGGGTAAAGTTATCTGATTCACATTTAGTTTTGTTAAATTTATCAGAAAGTCCACATATTCCACAACAAGTGTTCTTGTGCATCATGTACCATGCACCAATTTGCATGTTTCCAATTCTAGTTCACAGAGTTAAGTGGAGCACTAACTGAATCTGAATGAAATCTCATCCAATGTTGTATCAGCTTAAATACCATTTTAACTGGTATAAGACTTTAAAGTACTCCCCTTCCGTCTCTTAATGTTCTTGTCTTGATGGTGATTTTCTCACAAAAAAAAAAAAAAAAAAAACAAGAAGAATACATAGAGAAAGAGAGAGATGTCAATTTGCTTTAATTGCTGGTATTCAGAGCTTCCCTTAGGGTGTTGAAATGTATTATTGTACCATCCTTTAAGTGTATCTCTTCTAGTTGTGTACTGGAGTGTTGGCTTATATCTTTGTTGACATTGTTTTTGACAACCACAACATGTCCTGGCAAGTCACATCATTGAAAGGGGGGTTGGTTGCAAAGGTTACCAGTTTCCTTTGTATGCTGCTTACTCTAAAATCATTCTGTCGTGCAGGTAAATCTGTTGGCTGCTAGAAATGAGCGAGAAAGTGTTCAAGTAGCTTTACGCCCAAAAGTTACTTGGGGTGGTTGTGGTATAGCTGGAACTGTACAAGTGCAGGGTAATAACCTTATATCTGCTTCAGGAGACCGGTTAGTTTTTGTGCTTAACCGTGGTTTTAATTTTTTTTTTTTGGGGGGGGGGGGTGGCGGCTATTGTTCATATCTTTTTTAACTCTTCGAATTGAAGGAAACACACTAACCTGTTGAATGGATTAAAAACTGTTATACCATGATGGCTGATTCAAACTTTCAAAGACTAAAAATTTGACTATGATGTAGCTTTTTTGTATGTCCAGGTTGGTTATTGGTCAGTCCCTAAAGATTCGACGGGTAGCGTCCATTTTAGGGGTTCCAGATGCACTTGTACCTCTTGACCTGCCTTGCTCTCAGATAAACCTATTTCCTGGGTATATCTTCTGATAGACTGTATGTGAGAATTCTGGATTGCATTTGAACTTTCTGAGGCAAATTTTTATCGTCGTTGCAGAGAAACAACAGCATTATGGGTTTCCATTGATGTATCAAGTGATCAACCTCCTGGCATTTATGAGGGACAGTTATACATCACTGCTGTAAAGGCTGATGCACCGTGATAATCTATCCTCCCTCACTCAGTTAATTTTTTTTTTTGATATCATAATTATAATACAGAACCTAGTGCTGGCTTAAATTTATTTACTGCTGTGGTCTTGATATTAATAGGTTGTTTTTTATACTAGCAGTGTAGTTTTTTTCATCTGCCTACGATGGTTTATTCTGAGTAATGTTATGACAGATCTAGAGCACCATGCATGGGCAAGGCTGAAAAGCATCAACTATTCAGAGAATTGAGGGACTGTCTTGAGCTTATGGAACCAGTTGATCAGAATTCAATGGATGAAGTGGTGTGGATACTTTATGATGTTATTCCTGTTTGATGCTCTGTTACAGAACATTTGGCTTTTTCTGGAGTATTTATGTGCCTATTTGGATTTATAGGTTGACAGAGTAAAATCTGCTACATCAAATCTGAGACGTGCTCTTCTGTCCCCATCCTTTTCAGAGTGCTTGTCAGATAATGGTGCTGTCGATTCGATGGACGAAGACGCCATTTCTAATCGTTCTATTTGTGTAAAACTCAGCTTGACTGTGTGGGACTTCGTACTTCCTGCTACACCTTCACTTCCTGCTGTAATCGGTGTATCCTTATCTCATTATTCTTTGGGCTCATTCAAATAATTGTGTGTTTATTTTTATTTTATTTCTATAGCCTGTGCCCTGAGGTTTGTTATATTTAAATTGAGGTAAGCTAAAAGTTTGATAAATTACTTTTTTCTTTTTTGTTTTTTGATTCAAAAGGGTGATAAAATTACATCTAGATGACTTATTGTGAATGTATGACTGCTCTTAAATCTGGCAAAGGAAAATAAATATACTTTGCTAAAAATTGAAAATTACTAATATAACCCATATTAATTTATAAAGCTTAATGTTGTCCTTTCCAATTTCACACCAAGAAATACGAAGTATGTACTTTCCCCGTTCTTTTTTAATTGCAACATTGGGAAATTTACACTATTTACACAAAGTACTTTGACCCTTTTTTTGAGTTAAGCGTTCGGAAAAACATAGTCATGTAGGGTCTTGTCATTCGTTTTGATACATAATCTTTAACTTTTTATAATTTTTACTTGAGTAATTAGGGATAATAATGGTACAAAATGTGCATTGGAAAGCATGAAAACCCTAACTTTGTAATTAAAAAAGAATGGAGGAAGTATGTAGCAAGAATCCAAATGCTATTTCACCGTTTAAATGTGCTCAACCCCATTGATTGAATATAATACAATTTAGAATTATACTTTGATTAGTTTGGTCCATTAATAGAATACCAAATTACCTAGTTATAGGATGCATTATTATTAACAAATTAAATGATCCATAAAGGACAAGTTTAATAGTTATCCAATTGCAGCCAATTAGTACATAAGGACAATTTTATCTTTTCATTTACAAGAATTTGGCGGTGCAGTGATGCACTGTGAAGATGTGTAGCTCTTGTCATGGCCTCAACTTCTTTTATCTAAGATTTGTGTATAGCTGGAGTCAAAGTATCATGCTTTGAGCATTGCTCAACTTATTCTGATATTTGTAGATAGAATACTTCATGATATTTTGAGGGTATGGTTTTTGGTCCTTAACCTTCATTCTGTCGTGGGTGACAACCCCTTTAAAGATTTTTGATATATTATCTCAGTGTTTTCTGAATGATTAATGCATACTATACAAAAGAGATTTCTTTTATACCAAAAGGACACATTCTATCTTTGTTATATGAAGGGATGGACTTACTCCTTTTTATTTAAAGGCATTTATTTTTTTCTATACTATTGTAGGTACTTAGAATATTCACCAAAAAACTGTTTTACTAGAAGTTTTTTCAAAGTGGGCCACCATAGTGTTATTTGCAAAGTGTGAGGCGTCCTATTTGTATATAGGTTGAGCCTTAGGGTACCTAGTTGAAGTTTTCTTACTCATTTGCCCCCATGTGGCAAACATCCTATTTTTAAAATATGAGAGTGTACCCTAGGCTATATTATTTATCTTCCCCTTCATCGGTCTGCTTTTGTGATGTTTTAACCCACTACAGAATAATGATACTTCTTCCACCTATGAGAATCCTATACATTATAATCTACCTCTGGAGTAAACAGCAGTTCCCGATTTTGAGCTAACCATATCTGGTGGTCTGAGTGTTTGACAGAGCCTGATATATACCTAGATCAGCAGACTATAAAATATAATTATTTTGATTGTATGATTTGTTTGATGGAGCATTTTAAGATAGGAAAAATGGAAAGGCAAGACCCATATCTGAAAGAAGAGCAGGACAGAAGTAAAGATGTGCCGATGGAAAGGGCAATTCAACTACTCTATGGGGTCGTTTCACTCGTTTGGTTGGATCTTTTGAAATGGATTGGAATGGAGTTAGTGTCCATTCCATCCATTTTATTGTTTGGTTAGGCGTTATTGGCATGGAAACTCATACCAAAAGGGTTCAAGCTCCACCCCATTTCCCTAGAAATCTAGAATCCATACCCAGCTCACCACTAAGATTCACAATCCATTCCTTTAAATTAAATTTAAAAACCATTCCAACAAATAAACCAAACAAGTTTAGATTAGTATGGGGTTTAGAATCCATGCCTCCCTAGTATGAGATCCAATTACCAGCCTTTCCAGTTTGACGAACTAAACGACCCCTAAGTGTGATTAGGTGCTTGAATGGTTTGATATTATTGGAGGACTAAAGTGAGTAAATATCACTATGACCATGTACTAGTATCAGGGAATCCAAATTTGTTTATTGTTTGTGTTGAAGACAAAATTGATCATGCTTTCATACACATGCAGTCTTTTTATGTAGAGCTTTTTCGCTTCAAACTCTCAAGTTCTATCCTTTGATGTTATTGTGTAGCCAGAGTAAATGTAAATTTTTGAGGGACTCTTGATATTTACTGATTTTGTAGATTAAATGTTGCATTGTATCTTGAGGGCAGAGTTAATTTCTCCTTAGCCCTCCTTTTGTATAGTGTTGACACCCCTTTGATGTCTAATAATGAAAATAATTAAACCCTTGGATTTGAATCCATCTTAAGAAAGAGTACTATTAGTATGCAGAATCTCATACAGAGTTTTCTTGAGAAACAAACATTCTACATTTGCAAACTGAATGCACTGCACTTTATTTAGCGTAGGACATGTAAATGTGGTCACATGATAGACTGTTCTAATCAGCTTGGATAGTTTTATCTTATAAGTCTTCTGATTGGGTAGCATGGTAGGACTGATAAAATGCTGTCCTTTCTGTGGCTATCTTTTATGTTGCACTCATACTGAATTAGGTGTAAATAGCTGTTTTCTAAGTTGTTTTGTGATCCTTATATACAATGTACGTACCTTTTCTGATGTGAACATGCCATGACTTTTGATTGACTCTGTGCTAAGAGTTGTAGGTGTGTACTTGTATGTGTTTCTTTGACTTTATTCCCAGATATCAGATACAGTAATCGAGGATCGATTTGGCGTGGAACATGGAAGTAATGAGTGGTTTGAGGCGTTGGATCAGCATTTTAAATGGCTACTTCAGTATAAAATTAGCCCATATTTCTGTAGATGGGGTGATGGCATGCGTGTTCTGACTTACACGTGTCCGTGGCCAGGTACTTAATTTACTCAAGCTCCTATAGTCCTCTGACCACTGAAATAAATACTTATCGTGATTCTTTTTATTCTGAAATGTATACACTTTGCAATATTAACAATTTGGGGTCACAGTTGAATTGTGAGGTTGATATGTGGTATGCTACTTGGATTTGAGTACTCTTGTCTCACATGGGTGCGTCCAAGTTTCACACTTTTTCATTATATCGAATATGGGTTTTTGTTCTAGAGAAGTGTCAATTGTTCATACCCATGTCATAGTGTCAATGATCTGACTTGGTACTAGATATTGAATGAGGAGTTATTCATAGTGTTTGGATGTTGGTTTTGGTTTTGGGAGCATGTTCGGATATTGCACTATTGCTGTCCATATTTTTGTTAAATATATGTATAGATGTACTAAAAATCCAATATAGCAAGTGCCTAAGAAAAATATGATGACCATGTACGTTTGAATTTTCTTATTTCTGGCACTAATAAATATGGCTTATTTGACCTTCGTCTGCAGCTGGTCTGTTTATTTGTTGTATTTATAATCAAGAAGAATTTAATCGTCAGTTGTAAAGGGGAATTTTCTGTTCAGATGTGTATTGTTTGCTGAAGTGGATCATGGTTAAATTACCATGTAGCTTCAGTTGTGTTGGCTCAAAGCAGTCAAATGCAAATTGCAGTGTTCACTTTTGGTATTGCAGCACCACCCCCCTCCCCCCCAAAACACACAAAAAAAAAAAAAGGGGAAAAAAGGACTGGGAAGTTTGTGTTGTAGCTGTTTCATTTAATCATTAGTAACAGATGATTTACCTTGTTTCTTTTGTCAGGAAGCTTTTTTTTCCATCAGTTTATTAAATTACTCTTTTTCTATTACAATGGTTGCTCTTAGGTTTGCAGATAGTCTTAGGTAATTTTCTTATTTCACGTCATTATGTGCATCAGAAGGTTAATCGTTCAGCTTAAGTTTACTTGTCGGGACATTAAGTATTTTCCCAATTGATCTTATCTGTACAGCTGATCATCCAAAAGCAGACGAATACTATTCAGACCCAAGGTTGGCAGCATATGCTGTTCCAATTCGTCCGGTAGTATCATGGTATATGCCTAATTGTACTTTGTAGTCTCTTAGTAGTCTCTTAATATACTTAAAGCTGATTTTTGTGACTTTTGATATAATTTTGTGTGCCACAGTGTTGATGCTGGGCCCAATTTTTTGCAGAAAGAGATTGATATACTGAAGGCTAAGGACCACTGGAAGAAAGCATATTTTTATTTGTGGGATGAGGTAATACTACGCTGTAACTTTTCATATTGGATTGGTATGAGCTCACCTACATATATGGCACGTAAAGCAAACAAAAAGAATTAGGCAATTCATAGAGGTGCAAAGCATCAAGTAATTGATTAATTCTTTATCTTGTGAATATGAAAAGTAAGGCGTGTAGAGCTAGCAAGGCTTTATACAAGGAAAATAATGTCTAACTTGCCATTTATTGGTCACTAGGGGTGGTAGCTTAGAAAAAACCTAGTTGATATTTACAAATTAAACTTTGACTTAGTGAATGACGCCAAAGATAGTGGTGCTGCACAAAAGGTAATCTCATTTGTGAATTTGTTGCCATTTGATCCAATGGTTTGCACGTAAGGGTAGTGCTTTCTCTAAAAAAAAAATAAAAAAAAAAAAAGAAAAAGAAAAAATGGGTACAATCTAGTGAACTTGTCACAATGGGATCGTCTTATCCATTTATAATGTTTTTCCACAACCCAAGTGAAGAGCTACGATACTTGACCTCATAGAATATGACTGCATTCTTGCATGTTGGGTTCATTAGATTCTTAGTATCTTAGTCATAGAGTCATGTTCGATACTGAGGCTTAGAGTTTTCAGGCACAATGTGATTAGTTCTCTATGTTTGAGTTTTTTGATTCATCAATTTTCACATCTAGGTCTTGAATTAGAAACTCCTAGATCAAGATGAAACAAGCAAGTAGGCTAGCCCCAAAGTTTAGGTTAGGAAGTAATATTTTTGGGGTAATTGTTCCCTTTTTCAAGTTTCAATTGGGATAGTTTGTTCAGTTCTTTAAATTAGGGATTTTAATTATTCCAATTACTCAGAACAGGATTATTGGGGGTGCTAGTTGATGATAGATTCATAAAATTGACTATAAGGTTTAATATTTGCCATTCATTGACTGTAATTGCTTCAATCTTTTCATTGTTGGTTGTTAAGCATGTGTTAGAACTACCCAATTATTTGTATTTCCCAAGATATCTACCATATAGCAAGTTTTGGTTTGAGTGGCACTACCAATTTTTGAAAAAGTTAGGATATTCTAATGGTTGTCATTTGTCAGTAGTGCTAGATGAATAAAAACTTGTTTGTTGGATCACCTCCCTTATTTTTTGTTGGTTACTTTTGCACTTTCTACTTTTGCCCTTATCTTTATGCTGTTTACGCTCGGCTTTTTTCCTACTTTGGTAAAAAAATTATGAGACAGACCACTTATACAACATGCTACTCTTATGAAAACCCTCGTACAACACTCTCTCCTACTTTTTCTTACACGTCTTACATGCTATGGAGTTCAAGTCATGTATACAGTGGACAAGTAGTTTTAGGATATAGGGAAAAGTACTGGACAAAGAAGTTGCTTTATAATTATTTTTTTACTTGGAGTCTGATATGGATGCAATTTATTTGCAGCCACTGCAAGTGGAACATTTTACTTCAATCAGGAAGATGGCTAGTGAGATTTATAATTTCGCTTCAGATGCACGCGTTTTGACTACGTACTACTGTGGTGAGTACAAATTTCTGTATTGATTTCTCATATTAAATTACTCTGGTCTTACATGTTGTAAGCTTGTAATCATGATGGTGACAGAGTATTTATCTTACGTCGATTTAGACTGGTAATCTTTTTGTTGATTGTGTTTGCGTCTATGGAGTTTTTTGAAGGACGTTTAGTACCTTTCCTGGATCTTATACTTTAATCTGTGTGATGATTTTTTTTTTTTTTTTTTTTTTTTTTTTTTTTTTTTTTTTGGGGGGGGGGGTGCTAATGAAGTTAATCACTAAACACTTTCACAGACGTGTGATTTGTCTGAGCATAATAGTGTCGAGGCTAGGTTGCTGACATTCACTAGAATTCTATCTTGCCTGAGTTGGGGCTTTGTGAAGTGGGCTATTACTTCTGCACTTATGAAATACTAGCAATGTAGAGATGTAATATAATGCTATTTTGAATCATGCTTTATTTTGTTGCAGTTGCTTGACTAGTTTGAATGGTTTTGTGCTTTGATGCATCTTTGAAGACACCTATTATTTTCTATGTAGGCCCTGGTGATGCACCTCTTGCCCCTACTTCCTTTGAGGCGTTTTTGAAAGTCCCGAAATATTTGCGACCTCACACTCAAATTTACTGTACAAGGTAATAAGAGTTGTTTAAGCCTTTTGTGTAATTTATGATCAAATGAGGTTATTGTTTCAAAGTGCTTAAGTTATTTGATTGTGTAGTATATGAAAAGTCAGTGATATGCACGTTTAAAAGAAAAAGACGTGAAGAGGCTAAAGTTTTGTTTATGAGAGAGCATTCTGAAAGAATTTGCATTGAAGATGGAAGCAAGAAAAGAGATAATTGTAGTTGCAGTATACAATTTGCAGTTGGAAAGTGGTGAAATTAAAACTTCAGAAGGAATTTTAGAACTGTTGAATGTATTTAATTTGATCTTTAAGTAGCATTTTGGATTTAACTAGCTAGCCACTAGGGTACACTGATACAGCAAGGTACCTTTTCCATAAATTATACTTGCTGCATGAATACTTGAAAATTGCGTCACTCACTTAGTAGTAAATATAAAGCTGATATATGTAATAGACCTCTTGGTCAACTCAGATTTGTACTACTAATGGAAATTACTCACTGAAATTCGGACCTGTTTTTTCTATCACCTATGCATGAAGGGATTTGCAGTCCTTTATCTCTCTGTGATTCAGGTCATCTATATTCCCTTTTGCAGTGAATGGGTACTGGGTAATCGAGAGGATTTGGTGAAGGACATAGTTGCAGAACTGGAGAAGGACGAGGTATTACATAGTTTACTCTCTGCTCCATAAATTCTGCATTTTTTCTTCAATTATTGGTCATTGAGCTTAGCATATGACTGATGTTTCCTGCTTCTGTTACGTTCAATGAACTTGTTCTGACTGTATGGAAAATGTTTACGAGCATGATATTTTCTAACAGAGAATAACTTCTTCTCAACTTCTTTTGGAGTCATGATGCATCTCATCTCACATTACAAAATCAATCCCGAATATATTTTGTGAAATTAAATCTTATTGAAGTTGGCAGGAGTTGATCCTCAACTTCTTCTCAACTTCTTTTGGAGTCATATTGTAGCGATAGTTGGCTGGAGTTGATCCGTAACGTAATTAACCACTAGCGATAATACTGGGTTGCTAATGATTAAATTGACTTAATTGAGTGTGAGATGAGATGGCTGAAGCATAAGCCTCCTTGACAAGGAAGCTTTCCAAGCTAATTAGGCCTACAGTTGTTATAGACTTATAGTTTTATCTGTTTCGTTTCTGTTTTGAATATGCTTTGCTTAGTTTATCCTCATTCAGTCTTGTTCTTATTGAAGGCAGCAGGCTGTAGAAAGCCTTCTAATGTTCTTATTAATAAACATTGTTCACATGTTAAGAGTGGGAGTCAGATGATATGTTTATTTTTATTAATTTGTGGCACTTAATCAAGTAAACTCAGAACTGTATAATTGAGTTGGTTGGATTTTAGTCCTTCAACTTCTTTCCTGAGTTATGAGGATCCAAATCACAAGAAACATTAAGAATTAAATTCTAGTGCGTTATCTAGGCTTTTAGGCTTTATTTATTAATGTTGAACAATATTAATAAATAAATGAAAATATAATAAAAGGTTATACATATGAAGAGTTCTTTATATAAGTTAAACACTATTATATTATAGAGAATTAAAATTACATCAATGAAGAGCTTTTTAAAGAGTCTAAACATTAGTACAATTCAATGCTGTGAGAGAAGGGTGATGACACTTAGAGTGACATGTACAATTCAATGCAAGGGTGATGACACATAGAGTGACACGTAGTGCACACGTGGCATCAAATCATATTGAAGGAAGGGTGGCACATGGCGTTAGCATGTTGTCCCTATGGGTTTTAATAATATTAGAAATTGTATAGGCAAGTATATATTTTTTTGTCTACTAGATTAGTGCTCGTACGATGCACGGTAGTAATATCCCAAAAGCAATAAAGCTAAAATTATTAAAACTACAATTGAGAAAAAAGATTTATTGTTGATTAGTTGTGTTGAAAATATATCAAAGTAATATACATTATATTACATTAATGATGCATATTATTTGCCAACTATACAATCTAGTGACTATATAACTAAAGACTTGTTTATAAATGTCTTTTAATAAACATGAAAATATTAATCAAACTACTAAATAAAATCTACAGTAAAAGTATTAGCACAACATATATGTAAATATATAAATTACAAATAGTATATATCTTATATCCAACAAAATAATTTCAATGGAAATAAATACTACTTGGATCATTAAAGGCAATAACAATCCACAATTAGGCAACACTAACCTATATTATTAATAGTACATTTTCTGTTATTAATTTATGCTCTACATGAAATTATCGCACTTTGTTATTATATAAGAATGTGTTTAAAGCTATCTAGTAATTGTAGTTTGATCATTGTTTGTTTATTTTCTTAAAAGTTTATTTGTAGATGATAACTATTTAAAAAAAAAAAAAGGAAGGATACACAAGAATATGTCACTTTTCGTATGTCCGACGTGTCTTTTACTATGTACCTTATTTATAATGTCGAATGTATTAAATTTATTATCTCAATCAAATGTTTCAGCAAAAGATAATAATTATTATTTTGTATTTACTAAGATATTAATTTATTTAATTATGTAATAATAATAATAAAAGATTACACATTTTCCTAGAATAAGACATGATATAGTTGTCGAACACAACATTTATTTTAGAGTCATATCTCCATTAGTCTAAGAAACAAAATATTAGAGAAATTTGGAAAATAAAAAGAAGTGGTGTTTTAAAGTAATTTCTTTAATATCAATTATGTGAATCAATCTTATTATTTCTTTTTGGGCAAAATTCAATAATACTCCGTCTAAAAGATGTACTGGCCGTAATGATAGTCTTGTACTAACCAGTGACTCACTTTTTTATAATTAAAAAAAGAGTTGGAATAATATTTTAGGTAAATCAGTATGGAAGAATTAAGAACACGAAATATAAAAGAAATGCATTTTATGTAAAGATAATAGGAAAAATTGTTAAAAATAATACAACATTTGAGTCGTCCGCTAAAAATAAGACAAATTTTGGATTATTTCATAATAATGCAACCTTTGGGGACATCATTTATTAACAGGTTGTGACATGTTGATAACTTATTTTGCCGATTAAAAGTGACATGTGCCACTATTTAATTGGTTGGGTTGTTTTAGTTTAATAATATTTGAATTTAATTTCTGATTAATTAAATTAAATTTTATTTTGACTTCTATTGTTTTTTTTTTTTTTTTTTATAAAAGAAAAACCTTCTCTCTCCTTCCATTGCAAGTTTGCAACACCATCCATAGCCCTCCTCCACTTGGACCACCTCCCTCCACCCCTCTCTTCTAAAAACCCCTCTTTCTCCTCCCTTCTCTGCCGCCCTTCTTTTTCTCCTCCCACTTCCACCACCGCCTTGTGGCCACACTAACTTTGAACACCGCCCTCTTTTCGCACCACAAATCACCTCCTCACCCTCATCTAATACCAGCCCCAATCTTAACCAGCCAAGGAGTTCCAACCCACATCTACAACATACACAAACACATACCCAGCCAAGCACCACCAGTGAGCAGCACATAAGACCATCGGCAGCCGCATAAAACAGTAGCCACCATAGAAACCTTCATCTCACGGCCAATTTAACTCCAAAACTCTCAAAATCAACCCCAATCCAAAGACCCTCGTGGTTCGGACAGGTGTGCGAACATGTAATCGGGACAGTTTTAACTTAGGTGGGGTTGCTTTAGAGGAGTGGAGGGTGGTTTTCGATTTTGTTGGTTGGATTTCAGTTGGTGAATGTAGGGTGGATTTATGGTTGTTTGGAGGTGGTAATACGGGTTATTGATTGTTTATAAGGTGGATGTTGAAAAGCACGATGGTTTGGTAGGGGTGGTTTGTATTGTTGGTGGTTTTGAGGTGGACGGTGGTGTTGGTATGGTGGCTCAAGGTGTTGTTGATGAAAGGTGGGGGTAGCGATGGTAGTTAAGAGGTGGATCGAATGGTGATGAGATAATGGGTGGATGATTTTTTTTTTTTATTTTTTTTCGTTTTTGTTTTAAAAGAAAAATAAAGAATTTATATGGTTTTACCTTATAACTAGGTTACAGCCTGTTATAAGGAAATGTGGGTAAAAGGTCGTATTATTATAAAATAATCTAAAGGTTGTCTTGTTTTTAGCAAACCTAAATGTTGTATTAATTTTGGACAATTTTTCCAAGAAGATAATATGTAAGATTTGGAATATTATTATTATACTTATATAGTACAAATATTCCAAAAATAAAAGATTTTTTTGCGAAAAGGGGAGGGGGAGTTTTAGAGGGAAATACAACACCACAGAATGACACGTGACACGTGTTTCTTGGTGTCTGTTTTAGTATTATGTTATCTATAACAAATTTGGTGTCATTTATGAGCCCGCCAGATATTAGGACAAATTCTTGATAGTGCTCGTATTGCTCCCAATCTCCTCCATTTTTTTGAATCAGTTACCTGCCAGTTTCTTCTTGAGTGATGACAACACCCCCCACCCCAACTGCTCGTTGGTTTTTTCAAATTGTCCTTTGTAATTGTGAAAATAATTATATTCCTTCCGTTTCAATCTAATTGCTACATTTTTTACTGCAATTTATATACTAACTTTGGTCGTGTTTTTTTGACGAGCATATGAAGTATTGTTTAGTATGTCTGTATGTATGCTCCTATTTTTATATAAATGCATCATTTTGACTTTTCCACTATTCATATATTGACTTGACTTAATTCTATTACTCCTAAATTAAAATAAATGTAATTATCAGCGATTGTAGGTGTAATATATAGTCTCTTTGTACATTTTTATTCTGCCACTCCATTTTAGAATCTGCATCTGACTGTGGCAGTTGTTTCATTCTCCAGTAATCTTTACCTTCCAAAGTCCCCACATACTTGTATTTTTTTTCCTTTCTCCCTCCCATCTTCGAGGGCATATGCCTTACCCTTGTGAGCAGAGTTGAGAGGGTGGGTGGGGGAGGGGATGGAAAGATTTTAACTGATTATGGATATCAATTCTTTCAATAATTTTTTTTTTCCATGGAAAATGCATCCAAATGTTTACACTGCTTTTTCTTCCTACTAGTAAGAGTAGTATTTGTACGGTAAACTTTGGTGTTGACTTTATATTTAATGAATGAGATTATTAAATTAATCATTTTATTCCAAATTTCCAACTAAAATAATGAAAACTATTTGCAGGAATGGTGGACATATGTCTGCATGGGACCATCTGATCCTCACCCTAATTGGCACCTAGGAATGAGAGGTACGCAACATCGTGCAGTGATGTGGCGAATATGGAAGGAAGGTGGAACTGGCTTTCTTTATTGGGGAGCTAATTGCTATGAAAAGGCTTCAGTTCCCAGTGCAGAGGTAGAATGCTCTCTATTTATCCTTTATTATGCCATATCTGCCTATCTTTAAAATAAAAAAATAAAAAAAATAATTAGTGGTGTTCAATACAATAGTCTATTGATGGTTCGTGTATGGATCATAGGTGGTGTTGGTTTCTCTATCTCCGGTAGCTAATTAGGAATTGCAAGAAAAAGCCATATTTCTCACTGCAATGGTAGAATATTCTAAGCAGTGTCTAGTTACTGTCTGTTTAATTTGGTACTTGTTTCGGGGTTTTCTGTGTCCGTCGGGAGAGTTACGTCACTGAGTCTGGAATCCAGGCGCTTGTACCTGCAAAACAACGGAGACTCCGGGTGGTGGGAGCTTCGCCTTTGACGATCAAGTTAGAACCGGTCGAAGAGTGTAAAAAGGTGAGGAAAGTAAAGTGAGATCTTCTCGAATTCCGAGATCAAGTGTTTTTCTCTATTTTCGAGAGAATTGATTTTGTAATTATTGAAAAGGTGTTTTCCAAAGTGAAGTAAATCTCCCTATTTATAGGATCATTGGAATTTGTGCCCCCATCCTAGGTTACGGAAACCTAAACTTAGGACTGATGGGCTGCGCCGTTTTTTGGCAGTCTAGGAATTAGGCCTTGAAGGCCATCTTTTTCCCTTCTATTTTGGAGTGCCACGTGTCAACTAGTGAGTGGCCTTTATTGGACCTTGTCCTGGGGTGAAACGTGTCTTATTGTAATTGGACCACGTGACATGGGTACTTTTACCCAAATCAGTACTGGCCTTGTTATTTCTGTTGGGCAAACAATGGTCTATTGTCCTTTTCCTATGTAAATGTAATATTGAAGAAACTTGTGTCATGATTCACTGCTCAAATGTGATGAGATGAGCTAGTAGATTCATTTTTGGGTTGTAGGAATCAAAGGAAGAAATGAAATTGGAGTGTTTGGTTTAGAGTTTTAGCAAGTCGGACTATATTCTAGATTGGAGACCAATTCGCCACTTGGTTTAATGTGTTGGTGACTTGTTCATTTATTGTTGTGAAATTGGACAGGTACGATTTCGGCGTGGGCTTCCTCCTGGAGATGGCGTTCTCTATTACCCTGGTGAAGTATTCTCATCTTCAAAAGAGCCTGTAGCTTCACTGAGATTAGAGCGCCTTTTAAGTGGCTTGCAGGTAGTTTTGGCAGAGAGTTAACTTGGATTTCTGGTCATTATGTTCAATTGTGAAAATTAATTGGATTTTCTGGTCATTAATTTCAATTGTGAAAATTAATTTTGATTTTCTGGTCATTAATTTCAATTGTGAAGATTAATTTGGATTTTCTGGTCATGGTTTCCGATAGTCCTTTGGCTGTCCTTCCTATATTTGAATCACAATAATAAGGGAAGAAAGAAAATGAAGAACTTCTCTTATTTCAGGGCTGAACTGCAATATTTCTTTGGTTCTGATCTGTTTAGATTTGTTCAGGACATTGAGTACCTAAGGCTTTACGCCTCCCGGTATGGAAGAGATGAGAGCATTTCACTGTTGGAAAGAACTGGGGTTTATGTTGCTCCTGAGCGCTACACATACGAGCATGTTCCTGTAGATATGATGCGTGGGGAGATATACAACAAGTGCAGATCTTTGTAACTTCGTTGTTGCAGTATCAGCTATTCAGCTTTTTGACATTATATTTAATCTCTGCTTTAATCTGCTTTAATGTATAAAGCAGGGTCTTGTAAGTTCCTCAATGCTGGTTATCTTTCACATAATGGCTAACTACACAGGTAGTTGATTTACTTGAATTTGTAGAGGATGATGCAACTTTTGTATGATATGTCCGTTTTCCCCATACTTGAAAACTTGTGGCTTTTATCATCACTTAATTGGTAATTAGATCCTACACGCGACATTTATGCCCATTATCCTCTAGAAGTGTACGTTCTAATATGTCACTATGTTGATCATTCTCGATTATAGGCAGCCTTATTACCAGGTTCTGGTGAAAAGCTCTTTCCCTCTCGATTATAGTAGGGCTTCATTCTCTTTTATTCCTGTTCATCTTTTTCTCGTCCTCTGCTTCTTTCTACTCCATAGTTATGCTTACAAATTTCCAAATCTATTTCCCAATTTTTTTTCTAAAAAATGTTATTGAAGTATTTAGTCAGTGGAAGTATATTTAGTGTGAAAGATAAGAGGAAAAAAAAATAATATTGTTTAAGGTGTTTGATGGGAGAGAAATAATAAATTAATCTTAGTAGTACAAGTGGAGTTAGTGGAAAAGAAATGATATACAATAATAGTAGTGAATTTTACTCGTATCAAATAAGGAAATGTCACATTTATTCAAAAACATTTATTTATTTATTTATTTATTTATTACAACAACAGTTTGACTGAACAGGCTTAATTATACACAACTTTGAACATTAACATCTTTTCTACTATTAGTATAAGTTATTAAATGTTGATATTATTAAAATTTACTTCCTCAAATTTCTTCTAAATACATCTTCTTGGCATCATGACATGTACTTTGATGAAGAATAAGTAATGTAATCAAAATAATTAATACATGTTATACCTAACCAATTCTCTAATCACGGTGTTGAAATTATTTTGCTAAAGTAGCTCATATATTAACTATTACTAAAACAAAACATTTTTTCCCCTCCATTTCTAAGTTTGATGTCATCATTTTATTTTTTTAAAAAAAAGAATCTACACTACAATATTCAAATAGAAAATAATTGTCACTCTTTTTTACACAAATGATAAAACTAATTTTTATGCATAATAAACTTTTATAAATTGTGCAACACACGAGTCTAATCTAGTTTACCTACTTTAATTACCTTTTTAAAAAGTGTGCTAAAAAGATGTGTTGCATCTAAAAGAAAATACATTATAACTAATCCAACAATAAATTACATTCCTTTATTTTTCTAAAAAAAGGTATTTATACTTGATCGTCATATAATTTTAGACAATTTAATCTAAATATAAAAATATGGTACACGCACTCACTAACCTCTATCCAATAACTCCACCATTACCAACTTTATGTATATAAAACAATATCCATGACCAAGAAAATCAAAAGAGGTAATCAAACAACTCCCTCGTCAAACAACCCCATCACTAACACACTCTCTCTCTTCTTGTCCTCTGTCCTCTGTACCAAATAATGCAACCACTCATCATCCTCTTCATTCTCATCATACTCATCCTCCTCAAGCTCACTCACACCATCTTATGGGTCCCATGGAGAATCCAACGCCACTTCAAGAACCAAGGCATATTGGGCCCCACATACCGCCCAATCTTCGGGAACACGGCCCAGATCCGACTGTTGTATGCTCAGGCCCAATCCAAGCCCATTCAAAACGAACAAGACGATGAAGATGGTCCAATGGTACTGAATCATGATATCAGTCATCGGGTCATGCCTTTCTACCATCATTGGTTGGCCCAATATGGGAAGACTTTCTTGTACTGGTTTGGGCCTAGGCCCATGCTTGCTATTGCTGATTATCAGATGATTAAGGAAGTGTTGATTAATAAAAGTGGGTTGTTTAGGAAATTGAAGTATAATCCTTTGGCTAAAGTGTTGTTTGGTGAAGGACTTGTTGGGCTTGAAGGTCATAATTGGGCTTTTCATCGTCGTATTGCTAATCAAGCTTTTACTATGGAAAGGGTTAAGGTATGTTCCCTGATTAATGATCACCACTTCTTGTAAATTAATTTATTTGATGAATTTTTTTTATTAATGAATCAAAAATATGTATTTTATGAAAAAGATAACATATTATAAAAACATGGTTTATTAAGAAATTTTTAGTTTGCACAATATAATCTTCGATTTGTTAAAATGTCATACAAAATATGGACTTTTAAAGGACATAGGAATATCCGAATATATACGTAATCACTCTAATCGTTCTTTTTGTTTGTTTCATTTGTAATATAATAATGTTCAATTTAAGGTTTAAAATTTTAAATAGAATATATGCTTAATTATGAGCAGATAATCAAATCGACTAAATGAATTGTTCTCGAAAAAAAAAAAAAATCTACTAAATGAATGGTGCAAGAGGTGAGTATAACAGAGTAAGCATGTTTTTTGAATTAGAGGTTACAAATCTTCCCCAAAATGAATAATTTCATTGTCCCTCTCTCATTAGGTGTCTTGTACTATGAGCAGCAGATGATTTATATATTTATATTAAAGGGAATGAATAACATAATATAAGTAGTACTCCATCCATTTTGTGTTTAAATACAATAATTAAACCATTACATTATTCATACCGTTCCTATGTATTTATGTATGTACTTGTACCATATTAATTTGACAGGTTTGTCATTGCATCGCTTAACCCATCTACTCCATGATGTAACTATTGCTCCATTTGTAGAGTTGGATACCAGACATTGTTGCTAGTACAAAAAAGACACTAACAGAATGGGAGGAAACCAAGGGAGGCGAAGAAGAATTTGAGCTTGATGTGCACCAAGAGCTTCATACTCTCAGTGCAGATATCATATCGAGGACCGCCTTTGGAAGCAGCTATGAAGAGGGAAAGCGAATATTTCAATTACAAGAACAACAAATGAACCTTGTCTCCCTTGCTCTCAGAAGCATCTACATTCCCGGATTTAGGTTCGTATTCTCTATTACACTCGACGAATTAGTGATCACCCATGTGTAATTACAAGTGTCGGGTTTGGATACATATCTAAGTGTCTAAGTGAGATATATCATACACTTAGATATGTACCCAAACCCGACACTTGTAATTACACATTGGTGACATAGATACTTAATATACGAGGGTACATATCTAAGTGTCTCATTAATTCATTATTATTTCTAATTTGCTTGTTTGATTTAGATTCCATAAAAGAGTTATCCTAATCAAATGATGCAAATTTTGGAATAAAGGTTTTTACCGACTACGAAAAACAAAGAGAGGTGGAGGTTAGATAAGGAAACTCGTGATTCGATCAAGTTGTTAATCTCAAGAAACAAAGATTCAACTAAAACCCAAAGCAACTTGCTGAGTTTATTCATGTCTGCTACTGACTATGATGAGGATGGGAAAGAAAGGAGATTGAGTATAGACGAAGTCGTAGAAGAGTGTAAGACTTTCTACTTTGCAGGGAAAGATACAACTGCTAATCTTCTTACTTGGGCACTCATCTTACTAAGTACAAACCAAGAATGGCAAAACAAGGCAAGGGATGAAGTTTTTCGAGTTTGCGGTGTCCATGGATTCCCTACTGCAGACAACATCAATGACTTCAAGCTTGTGAGTTTCTTTTCTTTATTTTCCACCCTTCTGATCTCTTGTTTATCAGATGTCTCCGAAGAGACTCTGATCTCTTGTTTAAGTACCGTGTTAGTAGCTGGATTCCTAGCTAGTAGTGATAAATATTATACTTAATTCATTAAAATTTCCTCTATTGTGGTCTTAGAGAGGAAAATATATATGGAAATATGGATTGACCATGTTTTTTTTTGGTACAGAGTGAGTTGTAAGGATAATAGTGTAGACAGGATTTGATCAAAGTTGTCGGGTGTCACTCTTCAAAATCCTAACAACTAAGCTAGTTGACATTTACAAACAAAATTGACTTGCTTGACATATGCATGCATAATTGACCAAGGGTTATACTCACTATGACACACATACGAATTGAAGTATATATTTAAGATGAAAAAGGAGTTTCGTTCGAGCAAAAGAACGGGACTAAAAAGTTTTTCTGCTTATATTAGTTTTTATATTGCAATTTTGCAAACTTTATATGAATGAGTAATTGGAATAGTTATATACTTCGTAATATAATGTAAGAAATTATTGGTCAAACTATTATGAAGTCTTAACTGCGATTGTATCGTACGTTAAAAGTGGCTGAAGTACTCTAGGTGATTATATATTATACGAATATGTTCATTGATTGTTTAAAGAAAGGCATATATAGCACTTGAAATGTATGTTACGAAAAAATATTCCAATGGATCTTTTATACATTTTTGTAAATCATTGATCTTCTATGAATGTCATTGTTAAAAGATTAACATGATACTCAACGAAACCTTACGACTATATCCGCCTGCTGTGATGATGAAGAGAAGAGCTAGCAAAGAAGTGAAGTTAGGAAATCTTACAATTCCAGCAGAAACACAGCTGTATCTAGCCATGACCGATGTTCATCATGATGTCAATATATGGGGAGAAGATGCAAACAAGTTCAACCCTTTGAGATTTTCGGAACCTCGAAAGCATCCAGCTATATTTTTTCCTTTCTCATTAGGTCCAAGAGTTTGTGTTGGGCAAAACATGGCTATGGTGGAATCAAGAATTGTACTAGCCATGATTGTTCAGAAATATATGTTGGTGTTATCTCCAACTTATGTTCATGCACCAATGCAATTGTTGACCTTGCAACCTCAATATGGTGCACCTATCCTTTTTAGGAAAGTCTACTAATTTATATTGACTGTTTTGGAGCTTTTCATTCTAGTTTATTTAACAAATTATCATGTAGTTTTGACCGGTAGTACAAATGCTTACCATCTTGATTATGATTTCACTTATACCATTTATGTTTTCTTTTCAATGTTTGTTATTTTATACCAAAAATATATGATACAACATCTGTGTACTTGATTTCTTTTACTAATTTATAAAACAGTATTGATGTATAATACTCCTTGTTAAATTATTGACACATTTAATTATCGTTTTTTAGTAACATATAAAAAATAAATTATTTTATGAAGAAAATTATTAGATTGTTATATAATATTAAGTTTCATAATACTCCCTTGTTTTAATAAGTGTTACACTTATCAAATAAGATCGCGTTTTAATAAGTGTTATAATTTTTTATTTTTTATTTTTTTTTTGTGGCAAAAAGCTACATTATAATATTATACACTTCATATCTTTCTTTTCTCTTGGCCCACTAAAACTGACTACGAATACTACTTTTTATTTTATTTTATTTTATTTTTTATTATTTATTTCCTCTCATATTCATTACTTTTCAATAAATTATTAATCCTACTATTTTTTATTTTTTATTTATTTTTTATTTTTTTTAATGTTCAATGCTCCAACTAACCATTTACCTCTTATATTATTTAAGTTAATTAAATTGCTTAACTTATATGTCGGTCAAAGTGTAACACTTATTAAAACACGGCGGGAGTATCAACTTTTTAATAATTTTTATTAATATCTAATCATATATATGAGTTCAAGTGCATTAACATATGTGTCAAGTTTAATTATATCGATTAGAAATGGAAAGAGTATTAATAATCGAAATTTCATCTCAACAAATATGCCAATAGTTTCGGGGTTTTCTGATGTCCTGCGGGAGAGTTACAATTCTGAGACTGGAACCGTGCGCCTGTACCTGCAAAACAACAGAGACTTCGGGTGGTGGGAGCTCCGCCTCCGACGATCAAGTTAGTACTTGCTTTAGGAGTAATAAATGCGGAAAAAGGTAAAGTGTTTTCTCTAGGTCAGAGTAATTAATTGGCGTAATCTCCCTTTAATGAGGATTAATGAAGGTATTTATATGCCTTGGGATGCGTGCCAGTCCTAGGTTTAGGTCAACCTAGGGCTGATTGGGCTTCCACAAGACTTTGTGCTTAGGTGGCCGGTTTTTCCATTTGGCATGGGGGAGGACATGTGTCGTGTCGTTACTGGTCTATGGGGGACCGATCAGTACCTAACACATGGCAGGCTCCTATTGGCCCACGTGGCGGACACATGGCAGAACCTGATAGGTCCACTTGTCGGACGGTGATTGATAGGGAAAAATCCCCTAATCATTTGCCCTTCACAGGTGGCACGTGACTGTTCACATGTCACCTGTGATAGGTGTCGGCCTGTAACAGGCGACGACCTGCTACAGGTGTCGCCCTATGACGGGCCGAGCATTTTTCCCGCTCATTTTTTGTATTTGAAGGCGACTCTTCGCATTCTCTTTTGCCCTATATAAAGGCATGTTGACCAAGTCTTTTGTTAACATTTGTGAACTTTTTCAAGAGAACTCTCAGACCTCTGAACTTGAGCTCTGACACTTTGCAACTTCTAACCTGCCAGGACGACTGTTTTACTAGGCGCCTACTTGATCAAGATCTTCAGAACTTAAGTTTCAGGTAACCGTCTGTTCCTTTATTCTTTTTGCTTTTACACCTTCTTTCTTTTTGAAAATGAGACCCCAAAAGCATCCGGCACGGCCTAGGTTAGCAATCAGCCGGTCACCGGGGACGGTTGAGTCTAGGACTAGGGGTGCCGACTGCCCTGCGGTACTTCAAACTTTGCGCAAGTCCCGAAATCCAACTGTCTTTGTATCTATGCAGGATAGTATGGCAAGAACAAAGAAGACCAAGAGAATAGAAAACTCTGATGGCTCCTCTTTTCGGGTTCCGATTAGTGAAACATCGGACCAGCCGCCTGATACCGCAGGGACCCAAGGCGACCCCTTAGCCGAGAGCTTTGAGGAGGGAGCTAAGGTAGCTCCTTCTCACTTTACTGTTGACCTATCTAGTCAGCAGACGACCCCCGAAGAAGAAGAGGGGTCGGCCCCCTCAGGGAGTGGGGAGGAGTCGGACTCTTCTGATAGCAAGTCTGGCTCTAGCTCGTCAAGTCGCCTATCCATAAGCTCAGAGGAGAGGCATGCTCGCTTGCATGAGGCAAGAGCTTCTCATGCGGCTGAAAAGGGAGAAGGCTGGTCGGAACCATCCGCCTCTTATAGGGAGTTGAACACTCCTTATTACTGTCACGTACCCAAGGGCCGGATCAAGGCCATGAAAGAGCGAATAAACACCTTTCTTTCGGACCATACGATGGGTCCGGATTATCAATTATTTGTGCCGGATGGCGAGGACACAGTCGTCTGGCCCGAGGGTTCCAGCTATGGGGACGCTTGTTTTGGCTGTTACGAGGCGGCCATCAAAGCTGGATTGCGATTTCCCTTGCATCCGGCCGTTCAGCAAATCCTCGATGGATACGAGGTGGGGCTTTGGCAATTAGCCCCGAACTCCTGGTTCAACATCCTTGGCTATGTAGCCGGATGTGAAATGCATGGGACAGAGCCGAATTTCGAGGCGTTCGCCCATATGAACTACCTCAGCCGGACCCCCAAGGCAAGCGGTACCGACTGGTACCAAATAACGAGTCATAAGGGCTACCTCATGACCAAGGGCAAAGAAAATAAATGGAAGGATTGGAAAAACACCTTCCTCATCATTTCCAGCCCAGACCGCCTGTTGAACAAACGCTACAATAGGTGGAACAGGATTCCGCCTCTTCTAGCAGGCGGTCGCAGCATGCCGCTTGTTCCCCTCAAGGCCAGGGAAGAGATCCTGGACCGAGGGCTTTTTAAAGTAGAGATTAGGGCAGACTCTACTACTGGGGCGCGAGAGCAAGTGCCCCTAAACTGTGTCCCAGAGTTTCAATGGCTCTATGACGAGTTTTCCTGGCCGCTTGTGGCCTTAGCAGCCGGTCCTCCAGAGGTAGCCGGCCACTTAAATATATGCACCCCTTTTTTGATTTGTTTGAAAAATTTTCTAACTCTTGTGGTTCTTATTTGTAGCTAAGGCTATGGACCAGATCTCTGCTTCCAAGAAGGCGGCTGCTATGCTGCGAGCCTCCATTATGCACCAGAAGCGGACCGCTTCTGATTCTCCTGCCAAGGAGACGCCCACAGTGAGTTTCGATCCTTAGAACTTGCCTTTGAAAAGCTACTTAATAATTATTGGCCACTCGTCTTTTTCGTAGACGGGCACTTCCAAACCCTCATCCTCCCACCAATCGGACTCAAAGGTTCGGAAGACGACTGGTGGGAGTACGCCTGGATCTGCCAGGAAACAATCGGCTGACAAGCAACCGGCCACCCCACAAAGTGGGGGGAACCCATCACTTGTTCTCAGTCGGCCGCCTAGAAGTATAGCCTGCTCTACTGGACTTAGCTTATTTCTTCATCACTTTCTTCATATTTCTGATGTTTTTCTTTGTTTTTGATGCAGGCGGCCCTACAGAACCGGACTTGGCCCAAATGGCCAAGTCCATGATTAAGGCCGTCCCTCAGGAGGAGAGGGATGTGGTCAAGGGAGTCGGCACCCTTAACCTAGACGGCATCATGGGTCTCCTTTCTGAGGTAGACTTGGAAATTTTTAAAGTGTTGACTTTTCGTGCTGCCTGTTATTCTTAAATCTGACGCCTGTTTTCCCTTTTTCCAGACCATGCTACACGGCCTCTAGAGGCCGATCAACGCCAAGAACAAAGAGGTAAAGGCTGCTAAAGCTATGGCCGCCTCTGACGTTGATAAGGCAATGTTTCAAATTACCTAAAATGAAATTTTGACAACTGATATTCTTTATTATCAGGCACAGGCCACTTCCACCATCCAGACTGAGTTGGAGGCGGCCAAAAAGAAGAATAATGAGCTGGAGGCGAAGGTCAAGAGCCTTAACGATGAGCTGCGACCCCTCAAATACATTGCCCATAAAGCTGAAGGTCTCCAGACGTCTCTTGATACACTCAAGGAGCGCCTAGAGACGCAGGAGGCGGCCATCACCAAAGATCTTAATGCGAAGGCCGAGGCTGAAAAGATGGCTTTAGCTTAGGCCATGATGGAGGACTCGACCTAAATTATGAGGATGAATTGGACAACCCTCTTCCCTAAAGCTCACTATGCTGCCTGGGAGAAAAAATTCAACGCTTGTACTGAAAAATACAACCAACAAATCATGAGGCAGGCGGCTGAGGAGGAAGAGGCGGCCGAGTCAAGCTCAAAAGAGGAAGTGGTGGAGGTGGCCCTGCAGCCGATTGAGGTGGATGCGTCTAAAGAAGCGGCCCCTGATGCTAAGACAAGTAAGAAGGATGCCTCCCAGAACCAGGCGTCCCTTACTGATCAGGCGGCAGTCAATACTGAAACCCTGCCTCAATCTTGAAGCTTCTATGTCTTTAACTTTTCTTCGGCCTGCGTGCCGTTTATTTTTGTATCATTTTACCCGGCCAGGGGGCCGGGGTACTGAATATTTTTCCGGTCTTTATGGTCGGCTGTTTATATGATTTCGGCAACCATCCTTTTGGTCGTCCTTTCAAATTTTGCTTTGTTTTCGAATTTTTTGTTAAGTGTCGAGGATCCTTGATATCCGCTTGCATGTCATATTGACTGTTTTGTAAGCCAACAGTTGCAAATAGGTACAAAGTAAGGGTTGCCTATGCCCCTGGACGACTGGTTGTCTTAGTTCCAGGTTAGGCGATCAGTCGGCCATTTATCCAGTCGGACCCCACCATAGTTTAGGCAATATGTTAGATTTTGTTTAACTTTTTCAAGTTAGGAAGGAATAGGCTGCCTATAGCCGGCCCGCCTATTTGTTAAAATAGAAATAGTTCTTGAGTCCTTGCTTGCCAAAAAGCAGTCGACCCAGATTTTCAGACGTGTTTGGTTTGAAAAGAAAATCATCTCAGCAAGGTCGGGGTACGAGAGCTCTGGTTCGCCTTTAGGCAGGCGGACTCGTCATACCTTTTGAATCCTGGCTAAGTATGAGAGAGTGACTTATGGGTAATCTTTGAGGTTACTCACTCGTCATT